TAAGTTTGTGATTGTCAATCCAAATGTTCTTGTGAACGAACCAAATTCTTACTAATTTATATCTTTCCGACCCTTATTCCAACCAAAAATTTAACATGTTAGACGGACAAACAAAGTAAGAACATATTTTTGACATATTTTTTCATACCATAGTTTTACTTACGAAAATATAACATCAAATAACAATGTACAATTCTTTTTAGCTAATTTCAAAGTTTTTCTTTCGTACTTTCATTTACAATTACTGTCAACTTCATTCGTTAATTAATTAATTAGAAATTTATGTTTATCGAATCAAAGATTGTTTTTGTTGTATTCAATATTATCAAGTTGTTATGTATTCAACGTAATTATATTGTACTTATTTTCATTATGTCAAAGCATATATTATTATTGAACAATAACAAGAATGTTAAAATGTCTGAAATTTCATGTTTCGTATTTTGGCATGATTCAAGACTATGGTATCGACCTATCGACCTTGTCATCATGATCATCATCATTATAATCATTATGGTTATGCACGTGACTATCGGATATGATGATTCAACCATATATGAAAAATTCCAGATCATTGTTATGGCGAAAAAAAACTTAAAAATTGAAATATTTTTTTCAACATTCGATGTGAATCGTTACGGTTGTTTATTATGAATTTATGTTTTTTTTTTGTTTGACGACACGTGATACACGTGTTAATTACTTTATATAGTTGGCCACCAAATATCATTGTTTACGATTATGATGTCAAATTGAAATAGCCAAAAAATTGAAATGAATAATGTTAAAATTCTATGCTTGGAAAACAAAAAATTCTACGCCTCATAAATACACAAAACAGAAACCGATAATTTTTTTTTATTTTCTCTCATCAATTTGTTCAATATTTTAACAAATAAAAATTGATTGTTTGCTCGTATAGATGTTCTCATTTTTTTACGTTCAATTTCAAGTGGCAACACACTCCCATCTTTTAATGTTTTGGTGTGTGTGCATGTATACTTAAACATGTGTTTACAGTTACAGACGAAGCTAACCTCACAACAGAAAAAAAATCTGAATATCGAAAAAAATGCGAATAATCCTAATCGTGTGATGATGATGATGATGATATGAAGAATAAAACTATAAGATACATTGATGAAACCAAACACGAATATAATTAACAACATGGGATTGAACATGATAAAACTTTTAAAATATAAAAATAATGTTTCAACACATAACGATCGTTATCCATTGATGATTGTTTTAATGCTTTAGGGCGTCAATTGATGTTGTTGTTGGGAATGTTGCATAAACTAAACAAATGAACAAAATAATATTTGTCACAAGTTAACACATTATTCAATCTATCTTGTGCAGATCGATCGAATTTCGATATTTATTTATTTCTATCTTATAGTATTGATGATCATTTAAACGTAACATTTTCTTTTTTTTATTTCTTTGTATGTATATTTTTTACAAAATTCAAGTGTTTTAGATTTTTTTTCATGTTCTTATATCTCCAGGGGTTTTATTCTCTTTGAATGTATTATGGAACCGACATTAAAATATAAGTACGGATTTTGAATGTCAATATTTCCGATTTGAACTGGGAGAAAATTTTGTTTTTTGTTGATATTTTATCGGATATAAAAAAATTCTATGAATTTAAAATTGAAATCCTTAATTCTGTTTGTTTATCATCTTCGTGACAAACAAATTTCTATTTGTTCCGCAATGATTCTATCCGAACAAATAGACTTCATTTCTAATTTTGTTTTTTGTTCTCAAGTATTATCCATTATGTTTATTCCGTATTCAATTCTCATTTAAATGTTTATGGACATTGTTAAAAAAAATTCTAATTGGTTCACATGAATATATCCACCTCTTTGATGACTAATATCATCATACTGATGAATGAGAGGAAATATTATACTATTATTTGTTCATTTTCATGTGAAAATGAACAAATGTATTTTCATTTCATCGTCAAATATAAAGCAAATGAAAATGAGTTCTTCCACTCAAAAAAATACAGCCCAAAATTTTCTCGTTGCACTTTTTTTTGTTGTCAGATGACATGTCAATCACTCGAACGGTCGATCCAAAATGATGATGTTCCACCACCATATTGCAATGGCAATATACACTCATATCATATATGATAGCACTCGAGTACAACACACACATATGATGCTTTATGCCGGATTTTTTTCCCAATTTATTGTTTTGATTCTGAAAATTATCCCAAAAATTTTTTACCAAATATTATGAAATTTTTTTTGAATTGAAATGAAATTCAGCACACACACAAATTCTCGAGCCGTTTAAAGTGGTTTATATTTTATTTCAATAATAATGACATCTGCGGCTACCATAATAATAATAATAATCATTGTCATCGTTATCATCAAAATTGGATTTAGGTCAATATTGAATTTAATAAGAATAATATTTGTTCAATTTGAAAAAAATATGATATAAAAAAAGAGAGAGAGAGAAAATATAACCGACTTATCCACCTGATAACTATTTTCATTTTTTTGTTTCGATTGATGCTAAAAATATCTAAATTGGTCATCGGGTTCTTGACTTTTGAACTGAATCGTATTTTTGTTTTTTTTTTGGTCGTTCATATTCGTCAATCTACTTTAAATTTTTTTCCCTGTTTATAATATCAATATTATTATTTTTATTATAATAAGCGTGATTTCAAATTCTGAATATCATTTTCTATTGTGTCATTGTGTTTTTGTGTGTTGTTATTGTTCTCCATTGATCAAATGTTATTATATCGAGCACAATCAATTCAATTAGATTGGCATTCTTTTCATTCGTATACACAAACATATTGTTTAGTTTCAAACAAATTTCGGTAGTTGCCCACTCGAATTTCTTTTTATATTCTGTCCTTTTTTTTTATTGAAATGAATCTCGATCGAATGACGAGAAAAGAAAAAAATAAATAACGAAAAAACTGTCATTAGCTAAATTGAATAAATCGGACAAAGCTTTTTTTTACCATTTTCTGATCTGGTCTGTTTTGGTCTGGTATGATGATGATGATGATGATCCAGCATATTCTGGATGACGACAACCGAATCCAATCACCTTCTTTATTCCAACAAAAAAAAATCGGATGTATGTGACTGATTTTTTATTCCTCCCATTTCGTCCATCATTTCATATCATCAGATCATCAAGCAACTAGAAAATAAGTCAAATAAAAATAAATTCTATTCGAAAATTCTATTCGTAACGTCAAACCGCAAAAACATTTTGTCATTCTCAATTTTTGCTGATCTGACATTGACAGCGCGTTAAATAATTTTTTCTTTCCTATTTTTTCCTCCTATTTTGGCTTTCACTATTTTCTATCATTTCTAAATGATGTATATGTGTGATAATAACAGACACACACAGAGACAAACGAACAGTTTGTGGACCAAAGTCCAGTCCATATACAAAACAATTCCAAAAAAAAGGCTAACGATGGCCGATAATTGACATTCACTAAAAAAAAAATACTGCTTCTGTTCGCTTTTTTGCTCCATTTTATTGTTTTTTCTTTTTGTGAATAGATGAATGAACAAATGAATTGATTCTCCTCCCATCACCACCACCACCACCATCATCATTATTATCATCAATGATTATGATCATCATCGGAAATTCCATTCATCTATGGAACAAAATAATGATTGGCTTTACATTTCCAACATAACCATGATTATCCTCACTGATGATGATGATGATGATGTTGTATACAATAAAATAAACTTTCGAAATGGTCAATAACTTGCAAGTAAAATAAAAATGGTAAAAAAATATCCAAACATCAATTAGAATCGGTTGTTTTTTCTAATACTGTCTTCATCATATTCCATAAAATTCATTTATTTATTCATTTTGGTTGTTTGTTGTATGTTTGTTTGTGATTGTATGTGTGTGCGCGTAAGTGTTTGTATTTCATAAATATCTAAATTATTGTCCAATATTTATTACATTTACACAAATAAATAGAAAAAGAGAGAAAAAATGATGAAAGAAATTCTGTACCAAATGAATCAGTTCGTATAAACTCTATTGGGCGTCGATGTCTTGCAGCGAACGGAAATATTTTTCTCAAATATTACATCGTTATAATACAATGCATCAAGCCTGGTATATCGATACAACACACACAGACACACAATGTGAAACAAAATTGATTATCATTAGAATCATAAATACTTTTAGACGTGATGGCTTGTTTAGTTGTTTATTTCTATTCGAATACCGATTGTCATTTAGTCCAAATATCCCATTTCTTTTACAAAACGTTTTTTTTGAAAATCATTTTTGTTGTTGTTGTTTGTCTATCGAATATTGTTATTTGATTCAAAAAAAAAGAATTTCTACTTTGACTTTTAAATTGTATGAAAATGATTTTATTTTCTAAATCTGTATTCAATCGGAATCAATATTCATTCATAGTAAAACTCAATCATGAATTTTTTTTTCTCCGCATTGTCATCATCGATATTGTTTGCAAACATAAACGAAATTGATTATTATAAACAGAACGATCGTCAACAAATTGACTGAATAGAAAATAGTGACTAAAAACGATAAAATGAAACAAATTGTCATGAATGAATGAATGTCTTTCAATCTTTTTTTTCCTACAACAACAATAGATTCTGGTTCGAATACAATAGAACAGATTTCGGCATTTCCTAACAAAACATTTTCATGAAATAATATGGTACCGAATATCAATCAATAAAAATCAAAACGAATGAACGTTTATACAAAATCTGAACAACATTATATTATCATCATTATAAACAAGAATTTTTTAGAATAAACATCATTGATTTTATTTATTTATTTATTCAATAAAAAAAATCATAATCTAATTCAAATTCAAATTGGGAAACAAAATATTCTTGGAATGTAAATAAGTATTCGTATTGATAAACCAAACATACACATACACACACAAAGAAAAAAAGATTAAATTCAGTTGAAAAAAAAGCAAATTTTCAATTCAAACTAGGTTCTAATCAAGAATTTTGTATTTATAATTATCATATTAAAGCGGCATATTTCCAGTAGCCAGATGAAATGGTGAACATCCTGTAAATCCAACATTATTATTATTGTTGACATTTGATGATGGTGCATTCTGTGTTTCATCATTCCATCCATTTGGTTTCGATGATGATGATAATAATGAAGATGCAGAAGCTTGCGGAAGTGGTGGAGGTGGTGAATAAAAATTATGATGTTGATTAATGCAATTATTAGGTGCATGTGATGGCGATTGCACGTGTTGATGGTTAGTACTTGAGGTTATTGATTGTTGTGTTGGTACATGATGATGAGTAGAATGGGGATGATTATGATGATGGTGATGATAATGTTCTGACAATGGATTTATCAACGATAAGTTATCAGAAAAATTCTGTCCAGATTGAAATTGTTGAGCAGCAGCATAATGTGCGGCTGCCGCTGTTGACCAATCAGCTGCTGTTGTTGTATGATATAAATGTCCAGCAAGACTAGCAGCAGCGGCTGCTGCTGAAGCTGCTTCCGCTGATGTCGCTGTTTGTGCTAAGGACCAAATTTTCGGCCTAATGAAGTAGTTTTGTGATAGTCAAAAATATAAGAAAAAATCAATTATGAAATTGAAATCGTTGAATTTTTTTCCACTAATTTTATCAAGTTTTTTTCTATATGTGTTTAAAAACCTCAATTTTACCTTTGCCCATCAATTGTGTTATCACCTTCAACCATTGAAAGTCCAAATGTTTGTGCTGAATGTGGCGGCGGTTGCGGTGAAATTAATGTAGTTGCCTTCGGCTGTTGTGGTGGCTGTAATTGTCCACCACCAATACCGACAACATTATGTCCACTTTGATTAGATAGTAAATGACCTTTGGTCAAATGATGATGATGGTGATGATGCGAATGATGAGGATTATTGTGATGATTATGATGATTAGTTGATGTCGCCATCGTATTTTGACCGATTATAATACTGTTGTTATTAGTGTTTATTATTCGTCCATCTTGATCTTTATTGATTCGTAGTCCATTACCGTTATCAACTGTACATAGATAATATATAAAAAAATATGAACTCTCACTAAATTGATCAATCGGAAAAATAGGATAATAATAATGAATGCAAAATGATTTATTGCTTTATATTTTCTTTTTTCTCTTGAACATGTTTACTCTAAAATAATTGACATATTTGACATTCCCTTGTATTGTATTGTATAGTTGGCTTTCTTAGGATTTTATATTTAGTTCGTAAACATGAGAAAACTTTAATATTTATTTTTTTTTCTTCATTAATACTGGAAATCTAAGATAGCTTTTTATTATAAATAATATTTCATTGATAATAAGTCAATATTGTAATTACTATCGACAGGGCAAACAAAGATTTGTTATTTAGGTTGTAATAATTCTAATGAAGATTAATGAATAATTTTCAGTGAAACCGGAGAATTCTTTCTCACTATACACTACTGTGAATGCCATAAACAGCATTCTATTAATTTATGAATGTCATTCGGTTTTTACTATCGAAAAAAATGAAAAAGGCAAAAGAAACATTTGTTTAAATTAGACTAATACTCCCGATGTTGTATGTTGTTGAATGTTCACAGTAATATCAAATTAATCGGATGAAAAAAAAATTACGAACAACAACAAAAATTCTGTAATAAATAGAAAATTCTACTCTTTGATACCCATTTCAGGAAAAAAACAGAATACGATCATGTTTTTCTGTTGTCATTGTTGTTGCAACACTAAAACCACAAATTACTTTTATCATCATTAAAAAAATTTTATGTGGCAATTTAAAAAAATGAAAAAAAATTCCACATCACATACGATTTTTATTATTGACAAGTATTCCTCCCACCACCATATCATCATCGCCATCGTCAGTATTTTTTTGTGAATCTTTATCCGAATCATTATCGCGTGAATCGTTTGTTTTATTTTTTGGTTCCCATGTCATTTTATTTTCTTTTTTCAATCGTCTTCGTGCATTAGCAAACCAAGTTGATACCTGGGTCAATGTCATTTTGGTTATAATGGCCAGCATGATTTTTTCACCTTTAGTTGGATAAGGATTCTTTCGATGTTCATAAAGCCATGCTTTCAATGTATTGGTCGTCTCTCTGGTTGCATTCTTACGTCGGGCAGCACTATCGATAGCTCCATAACAATTACCATATGGACCATAGAATGAATGATGTGCATCATAAGGCGTATGGTAGGGTGTAGTTGCTGTTTGTGATGCAGCCGCAGCTGCTGTCAACGGCGTCCAGCTATTTCCGTTGTTTTTGTCAAATTCATAATGAGAACTCTGCAAATGATGACAACAAAAGGCCATTGTATACAAAAAGATGAACACAAAAAAAGAATTTATTGTTAATGTAAAAAATCAACCAACCGTCCGATCAGAGATTGTTGGTCTTTTTTGGATTTAATCGAATCGATCTACATATGTGTTTGTGTAAACAAAATAACTTACCAATGATGGATAGAATGATGCTGCAGCAGCAGCGGCTGCGGCAGCACTATTTGTCTGATAGAATGCTGAACTTTGATCATTGGCTGATGCATATGTCGAACTATACAAACCCGGTAGTCTCGGATATCCGGCAATTAGTCTAGAATGTGCATTACTGTTGGTTGTTTCATAGTTGGATGGTTTAAATGATGTGGGGGAACTATTCGATGATGATGCGGCTACGCTTGTCGATAATGTTGTTGATGATGATGATGATGATGATGATATTGGTTGCTGTGATCGTGATGATGATGATGGCGGTATTGATGGTGGGCTAGAATTATTTCGATTTGATACTAAAGTTGTTTCTGTCAATGAGTTTGAAACAGCCACCGATCGTTGTCCAGTACTATTTGATGATCCAGTATTCATGATGATAGATGATGTTGTCGTTGGCTCTAATTTCATTGATGATGATGAACTGGAACTTCTTACACTGCTATTACTACTATTACTATTACTACCATTCGTTGATGATGATGATGACAATTGATGTCCAACATTATTGATTGGTGTTCTGTTCAATTGATTTTGATCATCATTATTACCCACCAATAATGATGAAGCAAAACTTAATCCAAATGTCGTTGACATTTCTTCAACAATATGAATTTTCAACTAATGATTTTTATGTTATAATAATTGTAAAACAAAAAAAAAAACAAGAATTCTTGATTGATTTTTAATTGAATGGAAATACCACATTACAATGATCAATGATTTTTATGTGCCAACAATTATGACAATGTTGAAACATGGAAATTGAACATTTTTTTTAGTATTGAAAATTAATTGTAAACAATTGCCAAAATCGATGTTGAACATCTATGTTAAACAAGTTGTTCGACACAGACAATAAAATTGTCTTTGACGTTGTTGGTCTATCGTTTCGTTGATGGTGGTTTGTTGATACAGAATTTTTTTAAAAACAAGAATTACAAGTCTTGTTGTCGTTGTCGATGTTCTTGTATGTTGTATTTATATGTTTTATATATTCGAGACTTTGTTCCCTTGTTTATTGGACCAAGTAATAATAATAATAATAGGTAAATCGGGCTTCTTGTTTCAACACTTGTTCAATTTCTTGTTCTTTTTGTTGTTGAATGGATCATAAGCTTGTTGTCGTTGTCGATGTTTATGTCATTGGGCACAATGTAAAAGTATGTTATGTATGTATGTACATTTGTGTATGTCATCAATATCATATATGATTGTATCGGATGTTTGAATGAATCGAATACATGTATATCATACCATCAGTAACAACATCCGATAAATGATGCAACAAATTCGAATGTTACCATATAAAGAACATTGTAAAATCGTGAATGAATGAGGTATGAATTGAAGCAGCAATTTTTATGTACGACAAGATTCAAATGAAAAAAAAGAAAAAGAAAATAAAACCGATCGAATCAATAGAAAACCAAGAGGAGGATGGGCCCAAAAAAAACAAACAAACCATAACAACAAGAACGAAAACCAAAAGTGAGAGGTGCTAAAATATTTTGTATATATGTTTGAATCAGATAAAGATTATAAAAGACGTGGACATGTACAACATTGCCATGTATCATACACATACACTTGTAAAAGGTTCCAAAAAATGAGAAAGAAAATAGATGGTTAAAAGCAAAAAAAAAACTGAATGATAACTACCCCAGAACCTGAGAGCTTTTTATCTGAACATTTGTAAAATATTCTATTCATTTTTAATCCTGGAAAACCAGTATAAAATTTCACTCCATTTCTAATTTTTTTCATTTTTGCTTAGATAACGAAAAAAATATGAACCACAGAATCTTTATCCTTCGGTCATATTGACCAGGCTAAAAAAGTAAAAGAAAAAAATTCTACAATCCTCCCCATTTAGATTCTATCATTGAAACTTGTATTCAAATTTGTACATTCCTACAAGCTATTATGTTTGTATATTTCTGTTATTCATTTAATATGTTTGATGATTGTTGTTTTTTTTGTCCAATCTTCTACGTTTACATGTTTATATATGTGTGTGTAAGTTTGGACAAACCCGAAATCCGCCCATTATGACCGGTACCAATGATGCTATATACCGAATAAACTATTTTCGGGTATTGCATTTTTTAACTTAATGTTTGTTGTTTTTCGTTTTAGATTGTTTGTTATGCGCTCGCTCGCTATCCTATTGAATTTGAATGAAAAACAATGTCTTTTAGTTTCGATTAAAAAAATGAACAAAAAAAGATTATTTGATTCGATTCGTGTTTTTTCTAATTGGAATTTTAATTTTTTTGCTGTTTGATTAAGTTGTCAATTTTTTTATTTTATCATCAACCTATTGAAAGCTTTATTAGAAGATATTCAATTCTTAGGATTTTTTTCACGAATGATTGAAAGAATCGTGTAAATATTAAAGGATTTTCTTTTTGCCGATCATGTTTTCAATCAAATTAACCTTTTTTTTATTTTGTTTTTATCTGATTGCTGAAATAATGATGATAATCATCATTATTATTTGGTTAAATTAGAAATCACTGTTATTAATGTTATTGGAACATGTTATAATATAATGATCAAAAATGATTTGTGATCATAGAATGTGAGGAAGGTAGGAAATTAGATAAATGCAACTAAAAAAAAATCTGATTATCAACACCATCTATAATCGAAAAAAGACAATGATGAATTAATTGTTTTTAACAAGTATGGATGGCGCTACTATGTTATCATTGTTGATTTGTCAGTAAGGAATATTTTGAAACAACTTTCTGATCCGATTGATAGATGGCACCTTTTGAATATTTTTCAAGGAATTGAAATAAGTTATTTACTACCGATAGATGACGGGAGTTGCACCGTTCGTGATTTTGAAAATTCACTTCGAATAGTTCGGTTTTTGTTAGAATTTGCTATGGATAAATAATAAATAAAGTTTACCGTTTATTGCATGATTTAATTGATTTATCTAAAGAATGCTTATTTGAAAAGATTGGAAATAAAAACACCGATTTATATAACAAAAGGAAACAGGTCCTTGAAGAACTGTATAACCAAGTCAATAACAAAGTTGACATTTCCAAGCCATTAATTTTGAACAAAAAACAATCGTTCACCGTCACCTTGCTGAGCTATGATCCCTGGTCCCGCAAGGTTTTACCACAAATCGAAATCATTCGTGTGTAATTATATTGTTGAAAATGTTTCTAACAATAATAATGATGATGAAACATTGTTCGACCAACGAAAATAGAAAAAAAAACTTTTATTCATTCGATGATGACAGTTTTGTTTTGTGTAACAAATTTTTTCTTGTGTCTACATACATTTCAAACACGTATTTTTACAAGATTTATGATTCATTATAACAACAACAACAAAAACACAACGTCAAAAAAAAAGATCAAATCCAAAGAAATCCCATTCGGGAAGCATTAGCGTACATTAGAAATTTGTTTATTCTTATGTTTATCGTATACGAAATGATAATCATTCTTGTTGGAAATGATTAGTTTATGCTAGAATGAAGCCTTCGTTTTTGATCAGATTCAGTGAACCTAAAAAACATCCATATATAAACATTGTCCTAATATTTGGCTTTTGGGTCGAACACATTTCATAAATCAATCCGAATCGCTTATTATTATGACTGCCGATTTAATTTAAATTGACTTTTTGACAAAAAAATTATACGAATGTAAGGTTAGATTTTCTACTTTTTTTCTGGTTAAAATTCTATTCAATTTAATGTCATTTTTCCATGTTTGTTGGCATTTTCTTTTCTTTTTTTTTCTCTTACTTTCTTCGAGTATTATGCATGAATAAACTAGTTAAATCCAACGATCAAAATGAAAAAAATTTTAAATTTTTTTTTTTAAATTTCATTTATTCATTCGTTATTCAAGCATACATTTTATTCGATTCCATGCATAAATTTACTTTTTTATTTCAAATTTCTAGAATTTAGATAAAAATTTAAAGATTATTTGGCATCATCATTGAAATTTTCAAATTGAAAATTTAAATCTTTCCAATGTTTTATAAATGATTATTATTATTTGAAATCGAATAATTCTGTTATGTGTGTGTGTATGTGTGTTTGCATATCGAATAGTAATGATTTCTAATAATTCAAGTGAAAAATGATTTTGAAAATAATGATATTTGGGAGATTTTTTTTTGAAAATATCAGGAACAAACAAAGCGGATTTATAATGATGATGATGATTGTTGATAGTCGATATTAAAGAAAAAAGTGACGAAAAAAAATCGAAAATTTTCATTTAGAGAGATTGTATTTTAGTTGAATCGATATGTAATGATAGAGTAGTACTTTGGTCAGTCGATCGGTCAATATCCGCTTTTGGATCAATGTCGGCATTTTTGTTTCTATCGTTTTTGTTGTCATCATCGTTATTATTGTTATTGCCAGGTCAATATAAAATGACGACAACAAAACATTGTGATTTACTTGTTTGTAATTGCGTTGTCTGATAATAATGATGACCATTTACAATATTTTTTCGAAGATCCTGTATGATGTTGTATTCAAATATTGTATTAGCGGTCAAGCAGCAAACACAGATACACATATATTTATTTGACACGAGATAGACACGAGTGTGGCATCAATTTTCTTTTACAATAATCATACGCTATTTATCATGTGTTTGGGTCACCTAACACCGATTTGTTATTTTATTTTGATTATTTATTAAACTCGTAAAATTCTCTTGTATGGCACACGAGTTTTACATCAGTCTTCAATTATCAAATTTTGCAATTTTCTTTTAAGCCTACAATTTTGTTTTTTTTCTATTTCTTGAGCAGAAGAAAAAAATTTCCAACCGAGACAAAGTGAAAAGCAAGAAAAAATGATTTATTCTACTAGATTTCATTTTTTTAACAAATGATGTTACCAACAGGCTATCGGATTTATTAAATTTTCATGTTTATTAGTTTATTTTTTGAATGTATAATAACCATTTGTATGAATATAACCTTACATGACCATGGAATTTGAAATTTATTTTTTTCACTCTTCGTTATTCGGTGTGTTTATTTTCAATTATAACAAAAGTAAATGTGACCAAAACATTACATTGAAAAATAAGTGTTTGTTTGTTTGTTTGTTTGTATGTATGTTTCTATATTAGCCATCATTATCCAAATGTTCCAGGATCTTATTATTATTTTTGAGATGTGTGTCCATTCATGCGTGTACTTGACTTTTATTGTGTATTTATGTGTTGAAAAAACATACATACATTTATTTTGTTTGTTATTGTTTGTCTTGGTTTGTTATTTGTATCAACAAAAAAAATCATAGAATATAAAGAAATGAAGAAAAAAAATGAATGAAAATAGTTTGTTTTCATTTTCATTCTTTTTCCCCTTATCTAGCTTTTTGGTTTTTGGTAGCTTGGTATTTGTTATTTGTGGCCTGATTGTCATTTTTTGCTTGTTTTTGTTGTTGTTGTTCATTGTGGCCATTAATATTAATAGTTTTTGGTGACAATATTATTATCAACAATAACCAAGAAAAAAAAGTGTCACCAACAGCAACATGGTAACAACGGCAGGAACCAGTAGCCAGAACAAAAACGAAGAGAATATAAGATCAAAAACCAAAAATTCATTAATGACAATAATAATAATAATAATAATAGAAATCACAATGGTTA